TCGTGTACAGCGTTGCAGACTTGCAGTTCCCATTTTAGCCCATTTTTGACGGTATTGTATTTTCGACATTTCTCGTTGTATACTGGACGTGCGGCATAGGGCTCCGCACACGGATACGGCGGTATAGCCCAACTCTCTATACGGTACGGCCTGTATTCGTGACCTCAAAGGGGCCTTTTCAGCATGCAACACATTGGTAACTTTTTTTTTTTTTTCGAAGCTAAAAGTAATAACAAAGTTAAACGAGTCCATCTTCAAAGCCAGATACTCCTATTTCTCAAGAACGAATGTGTGCACCTCGCCACCGTAATACGGATACGGTACGACGCCTCGTGCGTGTGGACCCACTCCTGCGCGGTCTCGCCTGGGCCGTGCGCGATGTAGGCACGTGCGAGCCGCTGCCGGGCGGCGACACGCTCGAGTGCGGGAGATGACCAACGCCGCCGACGTGCGCGAGCGCTGCGCGGATCTCGAGGATCGAGGATCGAAGATGGCATTGACGATTCAATATTGTGAAATAAAATAAGCTATATTTAGGCTAAAACGAAGTGTAAAGTGACCCGCAGGTCACCCTTCATACCCACGCTGACCTGGACCCGCCGTACCCGGACGCGCATGTCATACATGACCTGCGGATTTGGGTCTGCAATTTGAAAATCTCCTAGTAGAGTCATATTGTACAGACGGTTCCGAGTCTACCCACAGATTGACCTGTGCTATGCCCTACTAACGCCTTATGTCCCCTTCAAATTTGGAACACAACATGATGTATACAACTCTTTACTGTGCTTTTCATAAATAATGAGAATGAAATTTATTCTAAACAACCCAGATTCATACCTATGTTCTTCGAGACATAGAGTCGGGCATGTCGAAACTTACGCCAGAAGGCGTGAAGGCACTGGAAGAGGAACTAAAGACGACAGAAGGAGAATCATATTGACGGTATCATTTTCCATCTTTCTCGGACTTCGTCCGCGGTGTACATTTGGTTAGCTTGGTTGCGAAAGACTGTGCGGCTATTTCTTTCCTTACTTAGCTGTTCTTAGATTAGAAATGCATCCTATTCTTCCTCGAAATCCTCGGCTTTTTCCGAGTGCCTGGTTTCTTCCCAGCGAGCCACTTTGTCTTTGCGAGTTTTCCTCGTCGTCGTTCTGCCACCCCCGAATTCGCAACGTGCTTATTATAGCTCCTGTGACGGTCATGCATTGCAGCGACAGAACCTAGCTAAATCGACAGAACTTACAGCGATAGCCTACTGACGGTCTTGTGGAATGTTGTCCGAACCTGCTGCATACTTTTAGCCCCTTTCCCGCGCTCGCCATGCCTGCCCTTCAGGTGCTCAACCTAATCTCTGACGCTTTCCCTATGGTCTCCTTCTTTGTTGGTCGAGCACTCCCGAACCCTTCAGGAACAAATTGATGTGAAGAAAGGCAGCCCCCATGTAGTCCGGAGATGTGATGGTGATACTACGTTCTTGGATACTCGAAAGTCGTTTCCGGTAACTACATTTGCTATCGTACGCGATTCTGGGATACAATTGGCTTTTCTACGCTTGCTGGTCGAGCCATAAGTGTCCTCGGTAGGATAAACTCCTCGGGTTTCTTGCACGTGCTCCGAAAATCCGTTTCCAAATTCTTACACTAACTACTTGGTATATAACTCTGAGGATCAAAGAGAGTTGGATTTCCCTAAACGGTTTTTTGGGCATCTTCCGCTCGCTCAACGCGCAATCTTTGTCATATATCGGTTAGCTATGTGAGTCCTTCGCCGTAATTATTTGGACTTCATATTCACGTTGATTGTAAACGAGTGTAGCGCATTGACATTTCGCGAGCTTTTCCGACTTCTTCGGCGCTGTGACTCACTGGATTTTCGACATGTCCTTCTCAACATCAAACTAGTCAACCTGAGCTTCGGCTCCGCATTTTCTCGGGGCCACCTTTTCTTACCACTGAGTATAAAAGAATACGAGAAAAGAGAATCTTCTGCATTAAACCTTCATTTTCTGTTTCGCTCGCTACACCTCTCGAAGCTCGTCCAAATGTTATTCCCTGCCACTTTCGTTCTCGCTGGTCTCGTTTTCCTCCTTGCTATCGGAAAGATCTGGAGAAAAAATGGACAGTCCAATCGATTACCCCCTGGATCACCCGCGGATTCCATCATAGACCATGCACCGTCTGGCCGCCTGCCTCCCAGTCCGCCAGCAGATCCTTTCATATGGCACGCGAGAAAGCTCCCACGCGGTGGTAAATCCTGGGAGACGTACGCGGAATGGGGGAGATCGTACGGTGCGGATTCCTCCTCGGCGCTATCCCTTACATATGTCTGACGTGCGGATTTGCTTTTCGTTTCTTTTCAGGAGACGTGATATCCGCATACGCACTCGGCCGCACGATGATCATCGTCAACTCTTTTGCTGCTGCGCACGATCTCCTGGACAAGAAAAGTTTAGTCTTTTCCGGAAGGCCTTGGATGCCTATTCTCGAACTGTGAGTCTTCTTTCAGATAAGAAAACCACATCGCACTTGCTCATTAGAGACGCAGTATGGGTTGGGCTGGGCATACATTCCTGCTGCCGTACGGCGAACGCCTACGGAACCAGCGGCGAATGATGCAGAAGTATTTCAGCGCGCAGGCCATACCGTCCTTTAGGTCGTTACAAGAGGCCGAGGTTCACAGGTTTCTCCGCCACCTGCTGGTCAGGCCTAATAAATTTAGTGACGACATTCAGGGGTGAGTAGTACTGCAGCAAACATTGCTTCCGGGTCGGTGGCTAACATGAATTCTTTCTCCAATAGACTCGTCGCCGGGATAACCTTATCAGCAACATATGGTCACCGGGTACTCTCTGAAGGCGATCCGCTCGTCGAGCTCATTGACCATACCAATACGATGGGAGCGGGTTTAGGAGATTTGGGTACTACATCGCTTGACATATTCCCCATCTGTATGTGCCGAATGCAACTTTCTTTATTTGTTTCTTATACTCAGGGAATCCTATTTCTCTTTTCGTAGTGCGTCATGTGCCAGCGTGGATACCTGGTATGGGAGTGAAGCGACTCGCTCTGGAAGTATGCAAGTTCACGGAGCAGGTGCAAAGCAGGCCGTATAACGAGCTCAAACTAAAGAGAGTATGTGAAGGGGAAAGTATTGTCTGTTGAGGACTCAGCTGATGCGACCGCGACTCTTGATATAGGCCGAAGGGAAGGAAGTCCCGTGCCTCATCTCGTATCTTTTGGACGACTACGAAGAGGCTGGAGCTGTTGATAGCGAACATGAAGAAGACATCAAAGCTGTTGGAGCTGTTATCTATAGTGGTGAGCTATTGTATACGGATGGTGTTAATTTTTTGTCTGAGTCCGTTTTCTGGTCCAGCTGGAAATGATACGGTATGCATACGCTGGTATTTTGAAGTGACACGTCGGCTTACTTCAGACTTTCTGCTACAAGACAAAAACCGTTATTTCCACATTTTTCCTCCTGATGACTCTCCATCCTAACGTCGCTACGCGTGCGCAAGAAGAGATTGATAGGGTCGTTGGAGCAGATCGCTTACCAACGTTTGACGATTGGCCAAACCTTCCGTACATTGATTGCATATTGAAGGAGTTATACAGGTACAATATTATTATACTCTATCCAGAACCTTGAAAGCTGATATTGTTGTTATCCAGAATCAACCCCCCTATTCCTCTAGGTGATTTCAAGCCGTCTTTATATATAAAAAGCACCTCTGATTCATTTCTTCAGGTCTACCGCACTTGTCTTCGGAAAAGGATACCTACCGTGGGTGGTTGATACCGAAAGGCTCAATAGTCATAGCAAACATGTGGTACTTAACCTTTCTCGCATGACATGATGCTGGCAGGAGCACTGAAGTTAATCCATAGGCCAATGATGAGGGATGAAAAAGTCTTCTCCAATCCTGATTTGTTCGACCCAGAAAAGCATGCTTTCGTATCTAACAAAAGGGCGGCTTCACATAAAGATGATGAAACATCGGAAGAGCACGCAAACGCTAGCTCGGATCCCAGCGCCATCGTCTTTGGCTTCGGCAGGAGGTGATTACGCCGCTTTTTCCATTCATACGCATTACTTATATGTTTGAACTTGAAATTAAATGTTGAACAGAGTATGCCCAGGCCGCAACTTCGCGGACGCAATAATCTGGTTGACCATGGTCAGCGTGCTCGCTACTTTCGATATCCGACCCGTAAGAGATCCCGACAGCGGGAAAGATGTTCCTCCAGACCTCGCGTTCGAGTCTAGGAATATTACGTAAGACATTCATCAGCATTGCTTCCTTCTTGCTCTTCTGATATACACCTTTAAAAATCATCTACAGCACACCGAAACCTTTCAGCTGCGCTATTACGCCGCGCAGCGTGAAGCATGCACAATTAATCAATGGAGATACACATTAGTGATTGATTGGCAATTCACCTGCTACAAGTTCTGTTTCTTCCTTGATAATCTGCACATGTTCTTGACCACAAGTTCCGAGGACTCAGGAGTGTGCGAGGGATACATGGAATGGACAAACGTGTACAATTCTTGTCTTAACCAGAGGAAAACATTGTCATTTGTTTCTCTCGAGGAATAGTGTCCGGGAAAGGAGGGGATTGTTGACTGCATGAAAACTTAATGTAATCGCGCAAACATGGTCCCAACCCGGCCACGCGACCGAAAGACGCAGAAGCATAGTCTCGTGACCTACGAAGTAGCAGAAGCACATCAACACGTAAGACGACTTTTGAGTAGGTCCCGTAGATTTGTGTGCCGGTGGCCATCCACGAACGATTCATTCCAGTTGACTGCTCGATAATCAATGCACACTTTTCTGTAATACGAGTTCAGCATAATATAAACGTCAATTCCGTTATAAAGGAAGAGTGCAAAACGAGAGAAAGTTGCAGTGCATAAGAACAAAATAACATAATTCGGGAAACAAATATAACTTACAAAAGTGTCTCCGAAACATAGAAACAGTAATAAACCGACCACTACAGGACTCGAACCTATAGTCTTCTGATACCGTAGACAATCGAAGTCAGACGCGTTACCATTACGCCAAGCGGCCTTCGAGTTGCGACAATTTTCGAAATTATCGCATTTTTTATATCTTTTTTTTTTTTTGTTGCAGACAACAAGATGCGGCTCACCATCCTAGCTCTGGAGCGTCGAGACTTTGACACGACTCGTTTCCGTGTCATGTTCGGGATGCAATCAACAAGCGTGGATGATACCAAACATCAGGAAAAGATTTCTTGAAAGGTTCCTGTCCGATTTGAACGCCGATATCAAACTTCTCAAAAGCACAGTTTTCCCCAGCTGAACAATGAAATTGAGTGCATAGCTATTCGGCACGTAGATATAAACCGTGCATGCCTCTGCAACAGGCTAAGAGAGGCGCGGAGCAGGAGCTATAAGTATAAATGGCCCAGAGAAACGAGGAGCGGTAACTTAAATTCAAGTCTTCCTCTCTCTTCACTCGCCGTCAGATACACCGCTTTCGAGATATGAATGCATCTCAAATTTTAGAGGCTTGATGGACGTAAGCATGATCAAGATTGCATCTCTGCAAACGATATGTAACCGTATTGCTTGCTTGCGTGGTGTCAGACGTTTGCCGATGCCGGTGTAGAGATGTATTGCCTCACTTGGCAAGAAATTATTGTAAATTTAGGCATGTCCAGCAGAAAAGCTCCAGCTCACGAGAAGGAGTTGCCATGTCAGCCAGACGATTCTCCTGTATAGTAGACGCAAAAAGACTGCGAGTAAGACTGAACCCGACAACGATGCGAAGACCATCAGGTGGGTATGAAGTAGAACCGTAAAAGTGACAGCATGCGGCCGCGTTTGGCTGTCTACGCTCACGCGCGTGCTCCTCCTTCTCCCTCGTCGTCCTCGCCAACCCCGCAGTCTCGACAAGACCGCCGACGTCGCCTTCCTTGTCGACGACGAGCGTCAGGACCGACACCGTAGGCCGTGTAGATGCGTAAAATGATGTGGGTCATGCAGCGTGTTGTGTCAGGTAAGCGTTGCCTCTCCGCCCCGGCCTCTATTTCCGCCCCCCCTGATATCTTTTGCTACCGTCGCTCTTGACATCTGACCATGCTCGCGTTGCGTTTCACTCGTCTCCTCTCAGGCACTTTAGCTACTCTCCTGCTGTCGACGTCGGGCGGCGTGTATGGAATCGACGCCCGCGTTCCGCAGGACGCGACGTCATTGCATTTCTACAACCCTACGCCGTCTTTCTCTTTCACGCCGACCAGCACCGCCAGCAATCCAACTTCGACGCCGTCTGTTTACTTCGCCTTCGCCGATATCCAAAATACGACTGTATGTGGATCGGACTCAATCTCGTGGTTCTACGCAGGTGCTGCGTCGTATACTGTCGGTCTTGCTATCGTAAGCGTCGGCCAGGCTTCCAGCGGCGAGCCCACCCCAGATATCCTCGAAGTGATGACGGGGAACCTGAAGAGTGAGAACACGTACACCTGGTCCCCAGTCTCTGTCCCGGCGGGCGCGTATGCCGTCGCCGTCTCTATCCCAGACGCCGACTTCGTCCTGCAGTCGAGTACTTTTTATGTATTCGACAGCTCTGATCACACGTGCTTGAACTCGACCACATCAAGCGTGTCATCGGATCCCGCTAGCTCTACGGGGGCGCCTAGCACCTCTCCCTCATCGGGCTCTTCTACAGATCTACCTGTCGTCGGAGCAACGAGTGGCAGTCCGTCTATGTCTGGCGGGGCGATCGCAGGCGTAGTGATCGGCGTGCTAGCCTTTATGGGCGGTTTGATCGCAATTTGGTTACTGCTTAGGCGCTACTGTAAACGTTCCGCAAATGGGGGCATCTCTCGCGGCGGATTCTTCGAGAAGAGGCCTCCGAAGGGCGCGGTCGCGATTGGAAGTCGGGGCGGCTCGTTCAGCTCGTCGCACCGCGCGGCGATAGGGGCTGCGGGAGCGGGCTTCGGAATGGGATCCAATTATAACTCCCGCTTCCCGTCACAGAGCGCAGTCAGTCACGGCAATTCGGAGGAGGATGTCGCGTCTATTGCACTCGCAGGAGAAAAGCCTGTCACCCATGCCTCGCCAGTGGCGCTCGATGCGGGCGTGGCCATGCCTGTGGCTATCCACCGCACTCCGCATGTCTATCGTGACTCGGTGGACTCGGCAGTCACAGGCTCGACCATCATTGGCTCTCCCGGAGGCATGGCTAACTATTTACGACCTTCTCGGCATTCCTCCCTCCTTTATTCTTCAGATCCGTTCAGCTCTAGCCCATCGACTCCGAGCCCTCGTCCTTCGGGAGACTACAGTACATCAGGGAGCCAGAGCCAGGTTCCCATAGGGCTTTTTTCGCCGCCATCGAACATGTCGACCCCGCGCACGTTTGGATCTCCGGGCGTACCTAGAGATATCTCTGTCGCGTCTTCCTCCTTACCCGATCTCGCCTACGAGTCCGAATCCGCGGTGCCGTCGGCCGCAGCGGTTGCGCCTACCGGTTCGCGACGTGCTCCACCCGCCCCGCCTGTTGCTGTGCCCGCACCTGCGACCGCCTATCCATCGCGACGCACGAAGTCCGCCTCGGCACGCAAGCCTGCTCCCGTCTACGCGCCCTCCGTCTCCGGCGAGGCACTCGAGCTCGTCGAGCCCGCGACCCCGCGCTCTGCCACGCTGGACGCGTCGTATTACCGTAACAACACCAACCAGCAGTCTCACGCGTCGCTCGCGCCGTCATCTTCGGCAGGGGGCGACTGGTCCTCGGCAGCCGCGCATTCACACTCGCCCGCGAGCGGTGTGTCTCCGGCGAGTTCCGGCTCACACCTCCCGCCGACGAGCACGTCGCCGACCTCCCCGACCTCCCCGAGCACACTTGTAGGACACCAGAGCTTCATCAAGTACGGCAGTCTGCCCGAACTGAACCACAAGTCGAGCTTCGGTGACCGGCAGATGCACTTCCTCATTCCTGACCCGCCTCCCGGGGAGATGCGGTGAAACGAAACCTGATCGAGCCCACTTTTCGATCTAACACGCAGACACAGCGTGCCCGCTGCATTTTTAATACGCGTTGTTTGACGCGGTCTGCGTACGTCTTCACGCTTTCATGTGTGGTTTTATAATGATGTGGGCCATGTGGTATATATGTACTATCTCTCTTCCACGAGATTCATGCTTCCCTGCTTTGTGTCTCTATTTTGCTCTCGTTGACGTTTGCTTTATCTAAGAATTCTAATGCACCGTGCTCGCTCTTTTTTTTCTTCTTTTTTCGTTATTGAGCCCTATTAACCTGATTGATAATCCTTACTCCGATTTAAAGCGACAAGAAATGGACTTTTGGATCTTGTACGAAGACTGTAAATACTAAAGCATAAATGCTGCCCTTTATGATTTGCAGTTCAGATCAGCGCTATCATCCCGAAAAAGCCTAAAATGTCTAGACATTTCTGAATTCATTGTAAGGCGTCTTTGTGAAAAAAAATGTAATTAGAAATCCGGTTCTTTCACAATCAGACTAGAGACGATGTTTATAGAGAAATGTATAGTCATTCACCGGTCAATGGGACACCCACTCAATGGGACACCCTCTATTTTCCGCCTTTTTTTTGTGATATCGGAATTAAATATATACCAAAATACTGTATAAGTTTGAGCCAGCCAGAATCAATATTGCTTGAGAAATATTCAAAATACTGTCGAAGTATGCTAAAATGGTAACTACAACTTGGCGTAACACCATACGTTTTGCCTCCCACACTCATTTTCTGCGTCTGGACCAGTACTATTTTCTCTTATTACGAGAGCATTATACATTTTAAACATAAATATGATGTTTTACGAAGGAAGATTGAAATGGATTTTGAGAACGGTACTGTGTATGCACTGTCTTATCAATAGGTCATAATGGTTACGGAAACCCCATATGTAGGTGTCCCATATGACTTCGAAGATTTAATCACTCGACATTATATTAATGTAAACTCGGGAGGCAACGCCTGCTAAAAAATGTGAATTTGTAGTTGCTTACACGTCTACCAGAAACGGAATTTTTGCGGCTCATGAGCGAAAGACAAGTTACAGAATGATTTCTTCAGTTCAATTCTCAACAGTTCTGCACAGGTTAAGTTGCAACACACTTGAGTGATGTCTCTGTTGTTAATATTTTAATTCTGCCCTCAAAGTGTCAGAACAACCATGTAAGACCACTGTTCTGATATTTGTACGGCTGGATGTCAAAATTTGCAAGCACATTCGCCATAGTCAGCCAAAATATTGTATCTGCAAAAAGTCTGCCTGGAGTCTGCTGTGCATTCCAGATTTGAAGTCTGAAAGGTATGTACGTCCAGTATAGAATGAGAAAAGTCGACAATGTGCTAAAATGGGAACTCCCCAGTTTTAACCAGTTACTTCAACGTAGTCAAGAACATGTGCTTATTATCAAGAAAAAAAGAGAAGAAAAACCCCCGAGCTTGTAGCAGGTAGATCACCAATGAGTCACACATGTATATCTCCCTTGATCAATTGCGCATGCTTTACACTGCGCGGCGTAATGGCGCAGCTGAAAGGTTTCGGCGTGCTGTAGATGATTTTAAAGGTGTATATCAGAAGAGCAAGAAGAAAGCAATGCTGAGGTATGTCTCACGTAATATTCCCAAACCCGAACGCGAGGTCTGGAAGTATATCTTCCCCGCTGTCGGGATCTCTAACGGGCCGGATGTCGAAATTAGCGAGCACGTTGACCATGGTCAACCAGATTATTGCGTCCGCGAAGTTGCGGCCTGGGCACACTCTGTTCAACGTTCAAGTCTATGAGTAATGCGTATGAATGGAAAAAGCGCTGTAATCACCTCCTGCCGAAGCCAAAAACGATCGCGCTGGGGTCCGGGCTAGCATTTGCATGCTCTTCCGGTGTTTCATCATCTTGATGTAAAATCGCTCTTCTGTCAGATACGCTGCAAGCATGCCTTTCCGGGTTGAACGCGTCAGGATCGGAGAAGAATCCTTCATTCCTCATCATTGGCCTATGGATTAATTTCAATGCTCCTGCCAGCATCATGTCAAGCGAGAAAGGTT